CTCATGGGACAACCAAGTTCGGTTTTCTGTTAAAAATTAGCCTAAGCGATTACACAGTGGTAACACTACTCAGGCAAGTTCAAGTAGACAGACCGCAGTACTTACTAGCTAGCAAAAAGGATTTATGAGCATTATTAAACCCGACTAATGAACTAAGAATAGGGATTCAGCTTCAGTTCTTTATATGAGCACCTATAAACTTTTGACTATCGCCCATTTTCACTAAGTTGCTGAAAGTTTTGTACATATTACGACCATCTCATTTGAACGCATTAAGAGTTGGACATCCGATCTCAGATTTATCAGAGACCATGCAGAAATGTAGGCCGTTACTTTGTTTTTGTTAAAGTACACACAACCTACTTTTTTAACATGGTCATCGTAGAGGTTTGCAAACTCTCAACAGTTCTCTTGTGGTGTAATTTTTGTTCATTCTCTCGTTTGTCCTCCTGTTTTAAATCCCTGTTTAAACTTACTTAATTCTGTTATTATTGTCAAATGTACTGGAGGGCACGAAGCCGGAAGTTGACTCTGTCGACCGTAAGGTGTTGTGGTAGTGTTTGACTGTAAAAGGAGTACCAAGCAAGTATATAATCAAAGTTCTCTACTCGAACGCACACAGTCATGTCAGTATTTATGGAGAGTTGACATGTGAATTGACGACAACTGGTGGTGCTCAAAGGATTTTCACTGTCACTGTCCCTTCTTAACTTTGTTGTAGACGTACTAGTAGACATAAGCTTAGGTGCGTCTGACTTCACAGGGATGGATCTACTCCCTGAAAGTCAGCCGGTTGAATTAAAGTATGCAAACGACAAAACAGTGACAAAACTCGGGGTCTTCTGAACATACTGAGCAGAAATCCTAGTGTGTTTAGTATGCGTCTCACTGAGGCCTGCCAAATGAAAGATTAGGATCCAGGACTGGTCCGAAATGACTCCCGGTGTAATGACCTTTCGCGTCTTGATCCATCTAAGCAGTAGCGAAATGATGAATATACCAAAGTTATGGTGCGTTGTTTACTGATATTTCGCTTCAATTCTTTCGAGAAAAGTCCTCCTTATTATATTCCTTTGTTACTACTGTTATAGTGGGAAAAATATAATCGATTTTAAATTTTGAGGGGTTGTGGATTACCGATAATCGATTTTAGTTCTGTAGTTAGTATTCCACTTGAAATGATGTAAATAAGGGATTCTGTATAAGGATTCATTCAGTACTTAAGGCTAAGTAATTGCTCTTAATCCTCTGTTCAAGCCCCGTTATCCTGGTAATTAACTGACTAGGTATTATTTTAGTTAGTTGACACTTAATGACTATCAAACAGATCCACTATCAAATAAATGAGGCAACAGTTTGTCAGTTTTAACGCATTTCCTAACCGTAAGTCAACAAACGAGAACTTACTATTATGCATATAATGTTCACTAATTCTTGACTGACAAATTCCACTCGTTAAATGGACTATTCATTCAGTGTTCAATAGTTTTGAAAATTCACTATATGCCAAAACGTAAAAGTTATTGGAACTATGAATATTGACATGAATTTTACTACATCAGGAGATAATCTATTATAAAAATTACTAATACTCATTATTTTAAAATTAGAACAACTAAGGACATGATAAATACTAAATTCTTGAAACTGCTGTTAATTTCATGAAATGGCAGATAAAACTTTTCAGTTGACTAAATCACTGAATACTCGTTAAAACTCAGAAACCAGGGGACCATCATTCAAGACGATGAAGACTCTGTCATAAAAAGTATTAGACACATTCAAGTTGAACTTCCACTATTATATTTAAAGATAACACATAAAAATTCAGGATCATTAATCAAAAATCTCGTAAAATTATTTACAGCATTCGAAAATTGTAAAATGATCTCATTATATCAATTTCGAGGACGTTGACACCTCCCAGAGCGATTTGATTCTACCAACTATTAGGACTACTGAAAGGTTTACAGTAAACCGTAATTTACTTTTGCATTTTTTCCGAAACACTCATGAGAGTTTATAGTGAGAAACTTCAAGACATATCTTCGGAAATCTGAGGAAATGTATAGGTGATGAAGACCAGAAATTGACTGAAACGGCATATCAATGATTGAAGCTTATACTGGCAAAGAATTTTTGTTGGATACTGTGCACTTGTTCTGTATGCGATTTAATTATTAAGACTAATCTCGTAGAGTGAAAATCAACTATGTGTAATCAAAATGTCATCACTGAGTTACGGGTTCATGTTGACTGCTGCTACTTGTGTTCGATCAAATACGATTAATTTTTCACAATATTTATTTTGATGCGCATACATTAAATAAGATAATGACAAGTCAACAAATGACAACTTATAAAAGTTTATTTTTTACAACTTCTGGTGGAGCCAAAGTCATAACAGTAGATTAGGACTTTCTCATCAACATAATAGACGGCAGCTGTATAATTTAAAATACAATCAAACACGAATGATTTTGTTTGACTAGAATTAAAGTAATTTAATTACTCCAGTTGTAACATCAAGATATTCAGAGAAAGGACTCTTTGCAATGAATTAATTTTTTACTTTCAAGCTATATATTCACAATTGGTTGTATTGTGTTCTCTGAGCTGGGTTGTTTATTTGTAAAGCTTTCATCGTCCATCCACCTGAGCTTAAAAATATTCTCCACTATTTTACATTCATACATTATCACGATATTTGAAAAATTAAATCCTTTGACGAAAACTAAACACTATATGTTGATGATAACAATAATAATAAAACGAATGATGACATAAGAATTTGTGATTATGATAACAACTGAAGTATGAATGATAACAAAATAGAATACAAAAAAGCTGACGAGTCCAAAGTAGGATGAAATGTGTATCCTAGATTTCACTGCCAGCCACCATCCATCGTTAATGTAATTAGAACACAGGGAATATCGAGACATTTACATAGGAGCCCAAATGCCAAAAGAGACCGATCTATTCCGTCCAGTCAACAACGGTATGATATAAAAACAGTTATACTAAAACTATACCCGTCGCACAAGAAGTAGCTATCTTGGCTTGGTGGTGTAGTAGGTAGCACCCTGGCGTTCGAAGTGATCGCTCCTGAGTCTGAATCCCGATGGGAACGACATCACTCACTTGAAAGCAGGTACATCCAGCTGATGAGTCTCAAACAGGACTAAATGTGCATCCTAGATTCCACTGCTAGCCACGACCCATTGTTAAGATAATTAGAACACAGGGAATATCGAGTCATCCGCACAGGAGCCCAAATGCCAAAAAAGACCGATCTATTCCGTCCAGTCAACAACGGTATGATATAAAAACAATTCCATCGCTGGCAGACTTTTTCATGTCAAAACTACAGAATTCTCAACTTTATCAAACTGTTAGTCGCCTTGACGCTTATCGAGGATATGCATACGACACATTAGTTATCTGTGACAAAGATGTTGATTCAGATGGCGTTCTTCGTTCGTTCAGTGACCGGCATCCAGCCCTCAAGTTCACCATAGAGAAGGAATCAGAATCGACTGTTCCTTTTCTTGATGTGATTCAAACTCGACGTAAGAATGGATACCTCAAAAGATCCTTCTACAGAAAACCAACGTGGAACGGATAACTAACTAATTTTTATAGTTGGGTATTTATCAACAGAAAAAGAAATCCTTCTCACTCTCTCTGCTATCGAATTAGAAATGTCTGAAGTGAAGATTATAGTAACGAAGAGCTATCGTTTTTAAAAAGCACACTTATCGAAAACGGTTGCACAAGCCGTTTTGTTGATAAAAATATGCGAGGAAGAAATACTAAAAAACCTTCCATTCACTTGGTCTCAAAGAAAGGATTGTTCATGAGTGTAGAACTTAAAGGTGATCTAGCACCCGATGTACTCAAGAATCGTCTATGCAAAATAGTCAATCGGACTTTCGTCACAGCAAGACATCAACTGACTTTTACCAGTCGTAAACTATTCTCCGTTTGTGTTAAATTGAGCTTCCTCGTTTGGCTGCTTCTGTTCACTTGCTCTTGTGAATCAAGATAAATTGCCCGTAGCCAGAGAATGCTTTCTACACCTATACAGGAACAAGTTCCAGCTTGATTTTATAAGGATGAAAGTCTGTTAATAGTTCGATTCTAGAACATTTAATTGATTTCCATCCCTCAACAAATCCAGACAATGACTTTTTAATTATTTATCAAATTCGTCGAAACCTCCCACTCTTTTTTCGTTTTTAACTCCTTAAAGTAGCGCAGACTTTAACTATTCATGAACTAAAGCCTGATCTGTCTGTACAAAAGAAGTATGTAGTCACCGTTTTATCAAGATAATAACATCTTCCCACCCCCTTTGTTAGTTTACCCGTTGTATGCTTTTTTATCACCATCATTGTTATAATAATTGCCTTCACTTTGATTAGTTTTCGATATTGTTTCACTTAATTGTCTTAGTCTTTTTAGAAAACGTTGATTTTATCTCGATCAACTTGTCTAATATTATCACATAATACTTAATTGACTTACTACTTTCATCAATCTTTTCACTCCTTTCTCAGTTATATATACCTTCTATGAACCATTCCACGTATTACGTAATCAGTTTTGTTATCATTCATACTTCAATTGTTATCATAATCATAAATGCCTATATCATCAGCCAATTTATTATTATTGTTATCATCATCACCATCATAAAGTGTTTATACTAAGTAATGATTTAAGTTGAGATAAAAATGTGGACCACAGCCAGATTAAAACCAGCGACAACCAAGTGTTTAGTTTTCGTCACAGGATTTAATTTTTGAAAATATCATATATATGTATACAAATGTACAACTTGAAAATAAATTCATTGGGATGAGTCTCTTTGCTGAATATTTTGTTCAACTCATCATCTAGTATAAATACTAGTCTGCCAAACTACGTCTATCTTCGATAGTCAAATTAAAGTGACAAAGAATTATCGATAAAAATGAAAATAATACGAGTCTCACCTCTCGATCATCTCTTTCGCATTCGAATCTGAAGTATACGAAGAAAGTAAGGAAATTGGGGTTAGTTTAAGTTATGTAAAGGAGACTAATAAGTTAGTTTTTGTGCTCTATAAATAAAAATTACCATAAAATCTGCTTACCGTTGTTGGCTAAAGGAATAAATGACTTTCGAACCTTTCAATCTGCTCGAAATCATTTTTTCTCTATTAATTCCATTTTCTTATCAAATATCTTTTTAAATTCGTTTTCTTTTTTGCTATCCATGTAAGCATTTCTGGCTCTTTTTACAAGTGCTAGCTGCATTTATACACGATTTCATCGGTTTTAGAAGTGATCGCAATAAAAAATTCTTTACCCTGAATTTATCCGCTTAATAATGACCATAGGACATACTGAAAGACGATGAGTAAGCGAAAATATTGTTCTCAATTAATTCTCATCAGGTTTTGTTCTAACATGCATAAATTTATCCTATGTATAATACATTAAGCCAATCGTGGTGAATTCTTTATCTATGATGACAAATAAATAAAGTATGCACATAGCAAATAACTAGGTAATAATGATGGCGATGGTTATTATATTGCTACTTGTATTATTTCATCACTGAGTGGGCCGAATCGATCGGTCTCTATTGTCATATGGGCCCCTGTGTGGATGCTTCAGTCTTACCTGTATTTGAAGTAACTGCTAATGATGATGGTGGTCTAGTGGATCACGCTGTGGTGCTTGAAGCTATGTGTCCCGAGTTCGTGTCCTAGTGGGAACAAAATCGTTCAGTGGAAGGCAGGTACATCCAACTGACGAGTCCCAAATAGGATGAAACGCTTCTTCTGGATTCCACTGGTAGCCACTATTCATCATTAACAAACGGGTGATAACTATGAGTTTAACTACTTGGGATAGCGGTGTTTTGTCAGATTACCGAGTAGAGCACAGAACCTAAGACCTGAGGTCTCTGATATGAATGCTGCTTTGGCCAAGATTTTCATGTCATCTTCAATCATCACTCAGTACTTTTATTGATAAATAGTATCTCAGTGATTATAAGAATACTAAGAACAGTATGGTACTGCAGATATTTGGACAACCAAAGTTGGACAGAATTGAGAAGAATGAAAATTCTGTAATACAAAGGAATGAAGGGTGTAGATAGTCAAAGTCTATGCGAAAGCGATGTGTGTGAAAGGAGTGAAGAAAGGAAAGGAGATTAAAAACGAAATCTATCTTTGAAGTCATTTATTAGTTTATCTTTGTCCAAGGCTGATGTTGGGGTTTCAAAAACGTTTTTTACACACAAAGATTTGAGTTGTTTTCGATAATTTCCATGTCCTCAGCTATATTTAATATGTAAGAATTTCGTTCGAAAATTTTGTGGAATGTGACAGATTATTTTGAACTCTTTTATCTTGATCGCTACCAAACATCTGCGACGGAACTGAACTTCATATTGACTTCACAAGGTTTAATGCTTAGAATAACACATCTTTATTACATCTATAAAAATCCACAATGCCGATTTACACATGCTTGTGCAGCAGGCAATTAGTCACTTCTTTTATACGAAGCCTAATGATTTTAACTAGCTGTCCAAACTTCAATATTTGGGGCTGACTACAAACTCATAACCCACTATTTGGTAATCAAGTGCCTGAACCAATGAACTTCAGCTCCACTTCCACACCTGTAGTTAGTACAAAAAAGCTAAGGACATTTCAGTGAATTATCAGCAGTCCGTCGCTAACTGGTATTTCATCCCATCAATACCGTGTGATGTTACACTAAAATTCTTGGTGCAACTATCTTTACACAGTGTACATTTCTCAGGAGGCCTTTTACTGTCTGTTTACTATAAAATTCATTTTTTATACCTCTGACAATCGATTTTCAGTAGACATTCACAATTAGGTGGTTTTATTTAGTAGTCAATTTAAGATAAAACCGTAAGTGTTTTAACTAATTTTGATGCTTCATAAGTGAATCCATAGAATAATATGTCCAAATTAATCATATCCTAGTGTTAGGTGTTATTAGTCAGCCAGCAAAATGTTCAGGATTTTCTTTTCTTGGTTATTAAAAATTATTAGCATGGAAAATAATGCTTTGCTTTAAATTTGAATCTTAAGCATCTATTGTTGAATTAAAATATATTATTATCTGACTTCTACCTCAACTTTATCGACTTTGAAAAAGCCTTCGACAGCGTTGACTGAGAAGTAATTTGGCAGGCAGCTTCCATACTACGGAGTACCACAAACCTTCGATAACCTCATTCAACAGCTATATGAAGACATGCATGCCCAGCGATTAACATTGAAAAACTTAGCTAAGTGATGCCTTTGAAATGAAGACAGGGGTGCCTACTATCATCGATGATCTTCCTGATTGTGGTCGACTGAACCGAACTGGACTGAATTATGTAACAGACAACTGTGAGGAGCGAGAAGATGGATATATTCTGTTTGACAGGTGAAAAGAGCTTAGAAGACTTGGATTTCGCCCATAGTGATCTTTGTCTAATGTCGCATGAACTCGAAGATCTACAGGCAAAAAGTCACAAGTTGGCAGAAGAACCGTGGTAGGGTAGCAAAAGAAGATGGGACTTCCTTCAGGTGAAGGTAGTGAAGATAGAGGTGATGAAGATACCCAACCAACAACAACATCAACAAAAGGCATTAATCATCATTAAGGGAAGAAACCTTAAGCAAGTTGTCTCTTTCACCTACCACACAGGAAGCATCATTTCAACTACAGGCGGCACAGGTATAGACGGGGACGTCAAAGCAGCCACGATCGGAAAGACACCAAGACAGTTCCTCATTAATCTGAAACCAGTGTGGACATCCACCGCACTGCACTGCACTCGGCACTAAGCTTGAACAACATCTGGATTTTCAACACTGAGTCAGTCAAGTAAGTCAGTGCTTCTATGTGGTGGTTGAGAGACAGCGTGTAACGGAAAGCATTTCCAACAAACTACAGACATTCATCAAATTAACAGCTTCTGTCTACCCTCACTCGATACTGAAGATCAGATTAGGTGACCAGAATAATGAGAATAAGCAACAAGGAATTGTGGGTGGCAACGAACCAACCAACCAAAAACCCATCTCCCAACAAATATGCAGAAGAATAAAGTGGAGATGGATTGAGCATACACTGAAAAGGTCGACTGGAGATATCACGCGTCAGGCCGTCGAGTGAAATTCTAAGAGAAAACGACGAGTTGGGCGCCCGAAGAAAGGTTGACATGGAGGATATGGTGTTAGGAAGAAATGAAAGCTTCTGGGTAGTTGTGGAGTCAGTCAGAAAGACTGCAGAGTAGACAGTGCAATAGAGGCGTGCTACTGAAGCCCTATATTCCACTAGGAGCTCAAGGGACAAATAATAACAAAACAATATATATACAATATATATATATATATATATATATATATATATATACTGCCTGAATCTAAACAATGTTCAACCGATAGCCGATGAATACGTTATGACTGATTTCAGTCAGCAGTAACACTACAACCTTCAAGTCACCTTTTTTCACTGAATTAAAAGTACCACTGATATTTCAAAATATTCAGCCTAATAAGCATAATTCTACAGTGAACTTCTACTTTGTATATTACCTTCATGAATTTCTTTAGTTTCTAGAATTGGATTTTTAAGATATTTTAAAAACAAGTTTTTGTTTGACTACTCAAATAGAATTTTTGAATTCTCTTGTGGATTTTGCAGCCACCTTTTAATTATTGGTCAATTTATATATTTATTTAACAGGAAACATTGTGTGTTGTTTAAAATCAAAGGTTTTGTATTGTTTCTCTTTTTTGATTTGTTTGTTTTTGTTTGGCTTCAAATAATAGCAATAATAATAATGATAATTTTCAGCTTACTCTTAGGAAAACGATTGAAATGTACAACTTTTCTTTGTATTGGAACTCACCAATCACTGGTTGACTATTTTCACTTAAATTTAATTTATTTACTTTCAAGTTGGTATTCAACATGGACTGACAGCATCTGGAAAAATATCTGAAACCTGAGAGCACTGGACAACTGTTTCGTCCTGGTATGGGACTCCTTATCAGTATGTGCTCATGACCCCATCAGAGATGGAACCTAAGACCGTCAGGTTCCATGACCAACATGTTACCATTGGGTCACTAACTCGGAATCCAGTGGTCCATATTTCTAACTTCTGTCAGTTCACAACAAAGCGTGATCATTACCCAGTATCATAGTCGAGTATTTGTCCTCACATTTACTTAGATTGTCCAACCGAGCACGACTTCTCACTGGTTGTCAATCTATGATGAATACCAAGTTGTAAACAATAAATTTCCACAATCCCACAAATTGAATTAAATCCATTCAAAGCACTACTTCAAGTAAAGTAGCTGAAAGCAGGTATTATTTGCATTTGGGTCACAAAAGTTCCCAAGCAGTGCTGATACTTAGTCCATGATTACCAAATGAATAAACTTTCGATGTATAAATTTATGATCTTGGATCCATTTGACTTTTATGGTTTCCATTAAAGCTCAGTAGTATACTGAAAGCTAAGCATTTTTGGGGCAAAACAACTTAATCTGAAAATAATTAAACCTACAGCTGCTTGTAATGTTTAGCTGGTGAATTACAAGATCACATCAAGTCTAGTTAATTAATTTTTTAGTAGCTAACTGTTGTCATCAATATTCTTGTAGTAACTTTTTCGTTAAAGATTGTTGCGCTACCACGTTACAGGTTGATAACTCTACTCTTTTCAAACTTCGTTGCCGTTTGTATGCAACTGTCGGTTTCATTGTAGCCTATATTTCCCTCAACGTTTACAAAGAGTCGTTATAGGAGATATCAATTTATAATGATTTTCACTTCCATGATGGACGATAACAAAAATTAATTCATTAATCTCACTCTATTCAAAAAAATGTAGAAGGCTGGATTATGCTCCACCAGAATCTTTCTACAAAGTCAGAGATTTCAAGATGAGTGCGTATTCAACACTTGAACACAATAGAAGCCCTG